CTTGTCTGGTTCCTGATTTCAATGGGAATGCTTCCAGTTTTTTTCCATTTAGAATGATGTTGGCTGTGGGTTTGTTATATATGGCTTTAATTACTTTGAGGTATGTTCCCTCCAGTCCAATTCTCTCTAGAACTTTAAACATAAAAGCATGTTGAATATATAAGGCTGGCTGTGGTGGTGCATGCTTTTAATCTCTGCCACTTGGAAGGCACAGGACGTGGATCTCTGTGAGTCCCCTACATAGCAAGTTCCAGGCTAGCCGGGGCTGCATAGTGAGACCCTCTCTCAGAAACCAAAAAAATTTTAAAATTAATGGTTAACATATTTAAATTTAAATTTTCTTAAAATTAAATTGGTCTTAGCCATAAATGTTTAAAAATATATATCTATGACGTAGTTTGCTGTTATTTCTTATTCTCGAATTTGCATAGCCAAAACATAATACTTGGACAACTTTTGTTGAAATTGGTCATTTTTGTTTCAAAATGTTTTTACTTTTAGATTTGTAAACAGTAATTAGAATGATTGATTTGATGCATTCTGCTTTTACCTCATTCGTTTGCTTTTCCATCTTTAGTTACACACCTGTTTTCAATATCTGTCTGCATGAGCCAGTTTAAATTAATTTAGTTGAACAAACATCATAAAAGAGTAAGAATACCTCACACATCCTTTTAGCAAATAGTTTGGTTCAGGCTCTTATGAAAAATTACACAATAAAATCTCATTTGGAATGAGTAACTGGATGAAAATACTGTAATTCCTTTTTGTCCTTAGAAATATTTATTCCCTCATTAATGTTTGCACTTTGGAGACTCAATCTAGAAGACTCCAGGTTTGGGATTTCCCACTTTAGAGTTGAAAATAGAGTCTAGACTGCTGCTGTCTGTCCCCTTGTATTCTTATTTTCACCTGATATTCTGAAAGGTCTTTTTCTGTCAGTTCCCTCCTCTCACCATTGTGGGAATGCAATGAAAATTGTTTTCTTAGTCTTGGCTCTGTTGACATATTGGCATGATAATTTTTCTTTGGGACCTTTCTGATATAGGATGTTTAGTGCCATCTCTGGCCTCTACCTTTCAGATGCCAGTAAGATGCTCCTTGATTGTGGAAAGGAAAACTGTCTCCAGACATTGCCAGTTGTGCTCTGGAGGTAGATCATCTTCAGTTGGGAACTACTACTGTTCTAGGCAAGTTTACTGTTCTGGTTCCCTATTATTTTAGTCTTTTTTTTTTTTTTTTAAGCACAATTGAGATAATTAATGAATAATGGTGAAGTAGGAGTTCTATGAACTGGTACTGTAATTTCAAGATAGAATAAGCTTAATTCTATTTTCAAAAACTAAGTAAATTTTGCATGTTTTCTTTGGAAAACTTGTAAGAAAGAATAAGAGCCATGAAATATCAGTCTTTACAGATAAAAATAGCTGAAAAAAAAAAAGAAATTGAAGAAGTGAAAATGACCCTGTGGATGCTACTGCTATAATACGGGTTAAGAGAATTGGATTTAAATTACTTAAATTTACAAATGAGGACACTTTGGTAAAATATCTGGCTTAGGTTTTAAAATACATATACACTATTATTATCTTGAATTAGTGATCATCTTTTAATATGTCTCTCACTTATTTTAATGTCATAGAGATGATAAATATCTTTATATCAATAATAATTATTGTTAATAAAGTCCTACTATGTGCCAGGAATCTCAGCTAAGCCTTGTTAATCTTTGAATTGTCTTCATTTTTTTCAAGAATGGAAGCTAGGAGGCACCAAGAGACTGAGGAACTTACTTTAGTTCTCAGCTAAAAATGTTGAGTTAGGATTTGATCTTAAGTGTCTGTTTTCTAAACTCTTTCCAACTTTCTTTATTATCTAAGCAAAACATATGGTAGGTAACACTGCATTCATTCAGCAACCTTAAGGAATAAAGTAACTAAATGTTACACATTTGCAATTTTAAAAATGTACTACAATAACTTCCCCAATAATTTCTGATTTATATTTAATACTTTTACAATTTTGTGTGTATGAAGGAGAGAGGTAGATGAGTTTTGAATTATAATGGTAGCTCAGTGTTTTCAAGCCTCAGGCCTCTTTGAAAATCTCATGATTATCTATCTCCCTGGAAAAGCATGCACATGTATATGAAATTTTGCTTATAATTTTATAAACTTCATGGACACTCCAGAACTTCACTTAAAGTCAGTCACGAACTCTAACTCTGAAACAGTAGTTACTTTGGAATGAAACCTTTCTAAAATTCATTAATGATTTGACTTTTATCTTCATGTGTATGGCCATAAAGAAGTTAACTATATAACTGTATAATTCTTTCCTCCCTCCCTCCCTCCCTCCTTCCTTCCTTTTTGAGATAGGGCATCAGTATATGGCCCTGTCTAGCCTGTCAAGCCTACAATTTGCTGTGTAGACCAGGATCAGAGAGATCTTCCAGCCTCTGCCAAGTGCTGGGATTAAAGGTGTGCATTACCGTGTCTACCACACAAATCCTTTTAAGAATAATTCAGTTTAAAAAAGAAAATGCTTCTTTAGTATAATTCAAACTTACTCTTTTTTCCTCTATACTTTTCTGTTTCTCTTTCAGAGTCAAAACTTGCATGTTCAAACAAAAGGAGGCAATGTGATCTGTCTGGGAACAGTTTATGGGAATATAGATATTCATGCATCAGACAAAAGCGTAAGAATGAAAGTTGTTTTGTTTTGTTTTGTTTTTAGTAACTTCCGCTTTCCTTCTAACTGGCTCATAAACTGGAGAGCTTCTACAAAATTTGTAATGTAACATTTTCTTTTTAATGCATTTTGATTCCTTAGTAAATTCAGCTTTGGAATTTAATTAAATGATTACACTTTAAACTTTAGTATTAATTTAGTACTGATAATAATATTAGTAAAATAGTGATTTAATACTTTTGATAGTTATTTAGTTTTTACTTTGAATCAGTAAACAGTACTTAATTCTGATTCTTCTAAAGAGATTTTTATTTTGATGATCATGAATTGAAATATTTCATTAAATAATATCACCAGTATCTGTATTGGATTTTTCTTGTGTGCAAGTTTCACTTGAGTACTGTGTTTTCCAAGACCCTTTTACTTTGCTTTTTAGCAAATTGAAGGATAAATTTTGAAACACCTTTGCACTTAAAGCCAGCATTGATTGGACTCAGTGGTTATGAAGAAGGGCATGATGTTGGGAGGGGGACAAGGTGGTGGTGTCTCTGGGAGGAGTTCGAGGAGTCAATGAGCAGTTGATATAATCAAAATACATTGTATATATGTATAAAATTTTCAAAGAATCATATAAACAATTTCAAATTTTTTATTTATTATTTTTATTTTATGTGTATGATTGTTATTGCCCACATGTGTGTAAGTGCACCCGTATCCTGCAGTGCCCACAAAGATCAGAAGAAGGCATTAGATCCCCTGGAACTGGACTTACAGACAGCTGTTAGCTGTCATGTGGGTGCTGGGAATCGAACCTGGGTCCTCTACAAGAGTAACCAGTGCTCTTAACCTTTGAACCATCTCTCCAGCCTGATATAAACAATTTTAAAAGCATACTGAAGCTCAACTTTGTTCAGCATTTCCACAAGGAGGCACTATTAGATGGGTTTACTGTTCCAACTCTGTCTTCTGTTTTGTTTTGTTTTTTCTTCATAGTTGCCACAGAAATTTTTGGTTCTTATAGAAAGATAGTTTGTATTTTTTAATCAGCTGTCTTATTGCTTCCTGTGATTTACTATTAGTAGTAAAGTTATAATCTCGTGAGTGCAAACTTTCAGCTTCTAGTGTATTTTAAAATATTTTATTATTTTTATTTTATGTGTATGCATGTATTGCCTGCATGTAGGTAAGTGCACCCGTGTTGTGCAATGCCCGCGGAGGACAGAAGAGGCTGTTGGATCCTCTGGAATTGGAGTTATGAATAGTTGTTAGCTGCCATGTGGGTGCTGGGATTTGAACCCAGGTCTTCTGCAAGAACAGTCAGTCTTAACCACTGAGCCATCTCTCCAGCCCTCTAATGTGTTTTAAATCTTTAAGAAAAATCTAAATCTCATAGTAAAAAGTTACAAACATATCTTGTAGAGAATTATTGGCATAATTTTTTAAATTATTGCATTTTATTTATTTGTGTGCTCTTGTCAAGGCACACATGTAATGGTCTGAGGACATTGTGGGAGTCAGTTCTGTCCTTTCATTATGTTGGTCCTTGGGGTCAAACTCAGGGGTTCTTAAGCTTGGCAACAGGCACTTGTACTCAGCCATCTCACTGTCCTATTGCTGGCATAGTTAAATGAGTTGGATTATAGCACAAATCGCTTCTACTGTTGTAGGTTTGCCATCAGTTTTCTCTTAGAATATGTGTGAAACTGTTTAAACCTAATATTTAAATATAATATACCCTTTAAGTTAAATTAGGAAAGTATTCCAAGACTGACAGCCCTTTAGAGATGACATTTACTTTTGTCAGTCACATTGCTGTGGTCTTAGAGATATAACAGGCAAATCAAACAACTTTGCAGTTCCCTTCAAATTTAATCCTTGCATTAATCACTAATGTTATTTTAAATTATAGTATTACATGTAACATTAGCATAATATCACATATTTTCTGTGAGTGTAGATGTGCACGTGCGAGTGTGTGTGTGTGTGTGTGTGTGTGTGTGTGTGTGTGGTATGCCAGAGCTCAGCATCAGTAGTCTTTCCCAATTGCTCTCCACTTTATTATTTTTTTAAAATAAGAGTCTCTCACTGAACCTGGAACTTACCATTTGGCGAGGTGACTGGCCAGTGAGCTCCAGAGATCTGCCAGTCTCCACCTTTCCAGCTCTGGAGGTACAGCTGTGGTGCTCAGCTTTTGACACGGGTACTGGGGATCCAAACTCAGGTCCCATGCTTGGATGGCAGGCACAGACTAATGTACTGAAAACTTAGCCTAGATACTTTTTCTATTTTTATTATATGGTATTGACTTTTAAAGCATATTTCTAAGTTTAGATTTTTTTTAAAGACATAAAATACCTACTGGTTAAGAGTATACATTGAGAATCAAACTTCCTGGATCAGCCATTTGCTTAGTTCTGTAACTTCACACACATTACTTAATCTTTGTGTGTCTCAGTTTTCTGGAAAATGGAGTAATAAGTAATGGACTTAACTCAGAAAGTTCTTATGAGGATTAAGTGAGCGAATACAGGTTAAGTACTTAAACCAGTGTCTGGCATGTAGCTGATCTGCTATTATACTTGTTTTAATGATGATAATTAAGGTAAAAGAATCACAGGAGAAATAACTTGCCCAGTCTTAGCACGGACTGTGGCATTTGCTTTGCTTACTCAATGAAAAAGATTATGAAGATTAGACAAGTACTAAAAATAAATCATTGTTATTTGTGTGGCTATTTCTAAAATTATATTATTAACTTCAGAATCCTGGCCTTACCTTAATAATTTAACAGAAAATACAGAAATTCATTTCATGTGACTATAGATTGAATTGATGACAGAGTTGTCACTTTTCTTAGTCTGGATTACAAAGTCACAATACTTTTGAAAACTTGATTTTCATTATTTTTAAGAACTGTATATTACATATGTAATAACTTCACATAGGAAAAATTCCTTATATAGAAAATTAGTTTATAGAAATGGATGTCAGGAAAGTTTTGATTTTCTGACTTGCTTTTTATTCTGCCTTTAAATAGCTTCTCTTCAAAGCCAGATTATATAGTTCAATCTAGGGAGTCTGCTTATGATACTTTTATCCATTAATATTGCTAATTATAAATAAGATTTTATCAGTACTCTGCTGTAAACTGTGCTATCCTGAGTTAAATTGTTCTAGTTAGTGTCTGATATGGAACAGGTAGCCCTCACTATATTTAGAATTCTTAGAAATCCAATGGAATGATTGATAAATAATTGTATTTTGTTTGTGGTATTTGTTGTGATTTCACTTGCTTTCATTTACTTTGATAGCACAAGGTACTGTCTAGCTTCCTATAAAATATAATATGTAGTTTTTAATGAACAGTATAAATCCTTGGCATTTTCCAGATATTCATAGAGTGTCTCAAAAGCTTTATTTGGTTTTTGGTAGGGAAATTTAAGGATAGATATAAAATTTCTCTTATTTGTTCACTGGGTAGCTACTGCCTTATTAAATGTAAAGTAGAAAAGTTTTAGAACTTATAGTACTTCTTACATCAACATACAGAGAGAAATCACAACTCAGGCCAGCTGGGGTTACTTGGAGACCCTATCTCAAACAAACAAACAAGCAAGCAAACCTCAAGATAAAATGAAAATTTAAGAGATACATTTTATAATAACATGTTAAAAATATCTACTAGAAATAAATCTAACAAGATGACTTCTGTGTAGAAAATATAAAACATTATTAAGAGAAACTAAAGTCAGAGTGTGGTGACGCATGACTTTCATCCCCAGCACTGGGGAGGCTGGTGGATCTCTATGAGTTCAAGGCCAACCTGATCTACATAGTGAGTTCACGGCCAGCCAGGGCTATATAGTAAGACCCTGTCTCAGAGAGACAGGGGGTAGGGGATGAGGAGAGTTAGGGATAGGAGAGGAGAGGAGAGGAGGGGAGGGGAGGGGAGGGG